ACGCTTCGAAGAATAAGGCCGTTCGTAAGGGCAAGACCGCGAAATCATCGTCGAAGAACAAGCTTGCGTCGAAGACTAAGGGAAAGACCGCGTCTAGGTCCAAATCAGCCAAGAGTAAGACCGCCATCAAGACAAAGGCTGGTAACAGAGGCAAGACCGGAAAAGCGGCCGGAAAGAACAAGGCCGTTTCGAAGACCAAGGGCAAAGCTTCCAAGGCCTCCGCAAAGAACAAGGTCTCTCCCAAAGCTAAAGGTCGCGCTGGATCGAAGAGCAAGGTCGCATCAAAGTCCAAAGGCAAGACACTCTCGAAGAGCAAAGCTGCGACCAAGGGCAAGAAGGTCTCCGCAAAGAGCAAAGTCGCCAAAGGCAAGACTGCGTCGCGATCGAAAGCCGTGAGCAAAGGCAAAAAGTCATCGAAAGCACCTAAATCATCCGGGAAGAACAAACTTGCTTCTAAGATCAGGAGCAAGAATGCTTCCAAGGCCAGTAAAGGCAAAGTCACCAAGTCGTCCGCAAAGAACAAGGCCGGCGCGAAGGCTAAGGGCAAGACGACCTCGAAACCGAAAGCGGCTAAAGGCAAGACGACCAAGAACTCTGGAAGGCCGAAGGCTGTCGCCAAGTCCAAGGGCAAGACTGGATCCAAGGCGAAGACGACATCGAGGACGAAGTCGGTCGGCAAGGGATTGAAGACCAAGGCGGCTGCAAAGGGCAAGACTGGCTCAAAGTCGAAAGCAGTCAACAAGGGTTCGAAGGCCAAGGCGACGTCGAGAGCTAAGACTGGGAAAGGCAAGACGTCGTCAAACCGCAAAGCCGGCGCGAAAGGGAAGACGTCCATGAAGAGCAACACGAGCTCTAGGGGCAAGAAAACTACCACTGCTCGTAAGACCACCAAAGCCAAGACTGCGCCCAAAGGCAACACTCGATCCAAGGCCGTCAACAAGGGCAAGACAAACACATCCAAGGCGAGACCTGCTACCAAAGGCCGAACCTCTTCAACCAAATCCAAGACCTCTCCCAACCGTGGAGCCAGCAAGAAGACGAATGTGTCCAAAACCCGAGCTGCACCGGCCAAGAAGGCGACTCAACCCAAGAAGAACTCGGCTGCAAGACAAGCCGCACCTAGTAGGAAGCAGGCCGCTCTCAAAGCTGTACCAAAGTCGGCGGCAAAGCCAGTTCAAAAGGCTGCTCCCAAGAGGGTGACGGCTCCGGTCAAAGCCGGCAAGAAGCCACGGTAAAGGTGCATAGGACACCTTATACAGCATGCTATCCTTTAGATATCTCAGTCGTGTACTAGAATATTACATTTATTTATATTTATGCTTGAATTTTTCCCCCATAAAATGACCAACGTGACGATTCCTGACCCAGTAGGTCGGGCCTTGTAAGAAAAAGGTCTGCTAGTCGAACAGGAACTTGATTTTCTTGCTGAGTACTCGATTGATATTAGGCCGTGGCCCCCAAACGTTTGAACTCTTTCCATCTCGTCGCCCCCAACTATGAATGTCAATTCACCGCAATATTTACACTCTCGCATTTGCATTCGTTGAGCTCTTACCAGGCTTCTCCCGTGACAACTGGGAGCAACGTAGCTGATGTTTTAAGCCTGGGTCGCCGTATGCTTACATAATCATATCGTACCTCTAGTCCCGACCACAACTTAACTCCGCTCATATTTGCACTCCAGGCACCTCTCGACTGCAAAAGTCCACTTCAAACGCTGAGGTGCATTGCCTATTCTCTATAGTTTGATCGA